AGTATCAATCTTTGTGTCATATCTGTGATAATACATGATAAGCAAATTATTTATTGGTACCTAATTTCAAAACATGAAAATTACCAACGCTCATTAACACTACAGTTACAATCCTCTGTACTTTGTTTTTTAGGTGGAGAGAACAATGAGGAGTGTATGTAACGAAGATGGTTACTTTCTCGTTTGGTATATACGCAGCAAAAAACGACTTGTTCTTAGTGTAAGGTAAGAAAAATACTTCATATACTGCAAACACTGAGAAAGAGTAGTCTTAATTCGGGGTTGTATATATTTGGAAGACGGGAATCCAGGTTGTGTTACATTTGGAAAAAATACCAGTTGAAATGAACATTTTGTATTATTCTTAGATTAGGCATGGATACTGTTTATTGTATAAGGATACATAGGAAGAAATTCTGTGAGTAACGTAGTCATGAGTGGTTTCATTTTGGAAGTGGTTAGAACAATAGGTAGCATCAATTAGAAAAAAGTGTAGATAAAGACAGAAGGATAATGCATAAATCAAGTATTTTTGCATAATCAGGACAAGGTCACATTTGTTTGGTTTATTAATCTGTATCCCATGGTAGGCATTGTTGTCGGTCTTGCAAAATATGTACAAAGTCTAGATTTGGTCCAGTCTGCCCATTTTAAGAAGCTTATCAGCATAGTTATGTTAAAGAGCATTTTATGTTCCAAATAAAGTTTGACCCAAGTACATTTTCATGCCATTATGCTGTTGCAAAGACATTGATGGAACTAGTAAAATGTAATTTCGCTTTCAATAAATACCTAAATAAATAACACAATTCAAAAAAATAGAGGGGTAAAAGAAAATTGGCTAAATAAGCTTTGTATGCTTTTTGGAATTTTATACTGTTATTTGCTATTACATAGGTTTGTGTAAATTCATTTCTTTAGTGTGTTTACATGTCTATGAACTATAGATGATGCATAAAATCGCTATTGAAAGATGGATAACAGGATTATTGTGGTGGTTTATATAACATCAATACAAGTAGGCTATTTGGTTTCAAGGAACTTGAAGTAAGTGCCTTGACTGGAGAAACACAAGGGTTGCTGTCCTCTCATAACTTCAAAGTCTCATTGGCTTCAAGAAAAAAGAAACACAGGAGATGAAGTGTAAATGTAAGAGAAGCAGCAGAACATATATATGCTGAGACACAGAAGAGGATTTTGAATCATGAAGAACAAAAGCACAACATCATAAAGAGTGTTCTTCTTTAGCATCATCCTATCATATTGGGTTCTGAATTTCCTACTTCAAATTTTATCTGTATTTTGTACCTCCCTCTACAATCACAGCCAAAATCTGATTTGTCTCCTGTGTGGCATGTAAAGAGAGGATGCATCGGTATTGGCACAATGGTTTTTTTTTTTTAACATAGACTAGTCTTCTATGTATGGGTGTATCAAACTATAATGAATCTGTGATATACGGTTTCAAATTCAAGAAACTTGTCTGTTTCCATGGAAATGTGTCATGTGCAGTTACTATTAATAGAAAGTAAGGAAACTGTTGGATCTATACAGTATAGCCAAATGGTCACATGCATCAGAAATAAAAGATCAGTACTTGGAGGTCTACATTTGATGTTACACGACACAAGCCTCAAATTGTACTCATTTTATTCTGTTTTCTGTGTCTCACTTGCTCCGGACATATCCAGATATGATTTTTGATCTGAACATGGAAACGTGTTTATTTTTTTTTTGTTTTTTACATGAACTAAACAGTATCAAATAGCTAATTATGACTGGGTGGGTACCCAAGTACCTGGATACCTATTGACACCTTTAGTGATGTATGTTCATGTTTTTATAGCAATTAACATCTCATAATTAAGCCTGTATTTTGCCATCCAGTGGATTTTGAAGACAGAAACATGGTCTATGTTTTTATTTAATATCAGTTTGGTTGTGATTATACGAGTCTTTGCACATTTTTGTATGTGTATGTGTATAGTGACAATGCCCATTTCTGAACACTTTTATTTTGGATGTAAATGTATTAAATGCTTTAATTAAATCAGACAAGTTATTTTCTTTTATTCAGATTTTAATTTCTATTTTCTATTGATTTATATGAAAATTCTCAATGGGATGACATTACTTATTTTGGTCATTTGCACTTATATGGCTTGGACCTGAAAATACTGAGAGAAAAAAAACCCCAAACACTGTCTGGGAATATAGCAAGTATGTACTATCAATGTACTGTTCTTCAGACATATTCAGTTACAAATATTTTTTAATAACAACTCAATCTATCTAACCAAGATTTCATTTTGTCTTCATCTGTTTATAATCATCTTCTTTTTGCAAACATGTCTATGAGAATTCCAAGCAGTATTAAGTTTTTGGTAGTGATCTACTTAATGACCAGGAAAATAATCCAGCAAATTAATTTAGTACCTTCTGTATGTTTATCTTTATATGGGGCAATGATTAGAGGAAGTCATATTTTTGCTGTGCACACCTCGATTAAAGCTATTGCTTTGGCATTTTCCATGTGTATGTCTGTCTGTTGGTCCATCCATCCATTCACAACCTAGATTAAGGTCAGTGCTATTTTTTATTTTACTTTCTGGCTAAATAAAATATCAGACTTGAAAGAGAGCCCCTTGTATTTAGAATAAGATAATGTCATTTGGAATGTACAGTAATGTAATCCAGCTATTAAGGGTGTCACAGATTGAGGTCAGATCCAGCAGTTTACAGGAATGCATAAATGTGTCAAATGCATGTCAAGGAAGATAATATGGAGAAAATCATATGTGTACAATCAACCTTTCAGGTTTGAGGAATCATCTTCAGGCTTAACTATTAAAATCTCCATATTGCTCTCTAAAAACTAAAATATTGAATGGTGATGCACAGAAGACATTAAAGTATGTTGTGAAACTCATGAAAATTGGATGACTAGTATGGACTTAACATGTATGAAGATTTGAAATTATACATGTTACATTCAAAATTGGTGGTACTATCAGCTGGATAAGCTCTTTGTCTTGTGAATAAATTATACAATTATGTAAACATTTACCCTTGTGTAGGTGATTATTTTGGTCATCTGGCCATTGGAATGTTTGCTTTTTAACAGTTGATTGACATATGCCATGCTCAATTGATGTCATTTGACTGGATTATACATATGCCATCCTCAACTGAGGTCATTTGACAGGATTCTACATAAGCCATGCTCAGCTGAGGTCATTTGATAGGATTCTACATAAGCCATGCTCAGCTGAGTTCATTTGACACGATTCTACATAAGCCATGCTCAGCTGAGGTTATTTAACAGGATTCTACATATGCCATGCTCAACTGAAGTCATTTGACAGGATTCTACATATTGAGCATTAGTAGATAGAATGGACCTGTATTCATATTTTTTCATAACAAACTTAATGTTTCATTGCATATTGCAGTCACCTTGGGAAGATTATCCATTACTGTATCAAGAACAAGGTTCGAGATGGTAAAATGCTGTACTACATCTTTGAGGACAGGGTCTATGAGGATGTGCGTGAGCTAATTAAATTCTATGAGGCCAATGGCCTGCTCCCTCAAGCTGATCAAACCCAGGATAGTGGAAGTTTCATCACATGTCAGAACATGCGAGATAGCCGCAGGCTAGCAAGACTGACTCATGTGAGACTGAAGTGTCCAGTCAAAGTGGATTATGGTCCATGTGAGGCTGTCAGTGTGTAAACTGATTATTTGTGAACTAATTACTAAACTTTTAAATTTTTTTAAAATTTACTTTTATTTATTATTGCCTTTAACTTTTGTGCATGTTTTTTTAAAACAAATTAAGGCATATGAGAAAATTTATACATAAAAACATTATTATACAGTGATTATACAATAAACATATTTTGAAATCTTTCTAAGAACAGTTTCCTAAATATACTGAATATTCATATAAATGATCAGTTGATTGAATACAATTTAAAAAAGTAGAGCCTTCTAAAAATCACAGATAATCTAGTGATCAGTAAAAGATATGTTATTTTTTTTCTCATCGCATAGAAAGATCATGTAAAAGACTCCCCAATTTAAGAGCATTTTGAAAATAAGAATGAAATGATTAATTTCAGTTGCTCTTAACATGTATTTGTCAGTCAGTTAATATTACTGAGTTAATAAGCATTAATCTTAAAAACTGTAAACAATCAAAAGAGATTAACAAAGTTGTGATGGATACATAGTAAATAATAAAAGAAAAAATTTATAAGCACACAATTTAAGTGTTTTTAGTGTATCACTCGATTAGAACATTTCATTACAATACAATTACCTTATGTACTAAATTGTAAAATGAGACCAACTGTAAAACTGTACAGACCCAGATCTGCCATCACATAATGTGCCAGCAGATCTGGATCTGTACAGTTTGTTAGAAGTAACCAGTACGACAAAAATCATATCCCCTGATCAGCTTGCACATTATGCTACAGCAGATCTGGGATTTCGTTATTTGCAGTTTAACTTTACTTATAAGCAAATATGTACAGTACTAGCCTTGGATTCTGATTTTTATTCTATATTTTAGTCTCAAGAACAAGTGCCAGAAATCTAAGATGGCAATGGTTTTGTATGAAGCCTTCTCATAATATAACACTTCATAATATAGACCTCAGACCACATTTATTTTCCTTCAAGGTCAGGTAAAATCATTCATTATTGCTCATTTGCTCCTATGGCTGATAGAACTGTACACACTAACTCAGCTTTGTGGATGAAACCCTGAAAGTTTTATCAAGATTTCACAGGCTTAGTATTGTATAATAATATGGTAACAGACTGGCAAAGAAAGGTAACCAAAAAGTGCTTCTTTGACATTGAATTAGGTGACATTTCACATATTGATGTGTTTTTAGACAGAAGGCAATTTTAAAAATCTATACAGATTTTCAGGCTTTGAAGTCTACCCTTTTTGTTATCAACATAGCTTGCAACATTTCAAAATCAACTGCTCCAGTAACCTAGTAGTGAGAGTGTCTGCCTCGAATGCAGGAGGTTGTGGGTTCAAATCCTGTCAGAGTAATACCAAAGACTTTAAAAATGGTACTAACAGCTGCCTCGCTTGGCACTCAGAATTAAGAGGTTAGTGTTAGGACTGGTTGGCCTGGTGTCAGGATAATGTGACTGGGTGGGACATCATGCTATGTGTCTGCGGCATGATGCCCCAGTGCTAGACATCATGATAAACTGTCACACTGCAAACATTGTAGCGATATGACAGAAAAATTGTTAAAGCTATGTTACAAATTTAAATCACACACACATTTCAGAATAAATCAGCTGTGAAACACCGCATTGAATTTGGTAGTTTTTATAGAGTCTCTTCCTGATATTGGTCAACCTCAAGGAGTTAATTTTAGCAGTCTGGTAAACACTGAGTAAACTTAAAATTTGAAGAAACAAATTCACAGAGAAAGTGTTATGTAAAGGGTAACTATCTGGTATGTAATTGGAGTAGTTCAAAAGAAGACATGGAGTCCTCAGACCACAAGGCACTTCAACAGACTTGTGTTCTAACTTATGGTGCTTTAAAGTTCACATTCTTTGTGTGTTTGTACCAATATAATTTGGGGCCCTGAATGGCCAAATGGTCTAGAGCGCTCACCATTACGGATCACTGCCATCTCACATCTGTCTGCTCTTGTTTGAGTCTCAGACAAAATCTTGCCAGTAACTTCCCATGGATCTTGCCAGTAACTTCCCATGGGTTGGTGGTTATTTCTTGGGGTTTTTCTTGGGTTTTTATTTCAGTAGATATACTGGAGTAATGTATCATGCAAAAAATTAGTGTTAAACCCAACAACAACAACAAGCAATATAATTTTTTTTATATTTATTGTGGAATAATAATTTACAAAATTCAGAAAAGGTTGTTGATTATAAATTTTGTAATGCAGTTATGTGTTGAGGATAGGGCAGTTTAGTTTTCTAAGACGTAGATTAATGTTCTTGTGTTATTTGTACATTATTTAATATCTTTAGCACATAAAAAAGATTGTTTCCGGTATGCCTCAGATTTTTTGCTTGAATTTTAGATCTTCTGCAATTAGACAGAAGAGCTTATTTGATGTACTGTTTTCCATCATTCATCATTTGTCCATTAACACAAGTTTGTGATCACTACTCGTCTTAAAATACTTGTAGGATTGTTATGAAACTTTACATTCCTTCCCAATTCAAGTTGGTCCTATTGGTATTAAACCCAGCAGCCAATTTAAAATTCTTGTTACTGTTCTTTTCAGCCAATAGGGTATAAGTCCCTTTGATGGACTCTGTATGGTTAGGGTGCCATTTATATCATTATTTATCATGATATGTAGTAAATGTAATATCAATATTTTTAAGGTATCTAAGCTAAGTTTTGTGTAGTATTTAAAGGTTACTGCATTTGTATGGGAAAATATGAACAAGGTTTTTGGATGTATATACTGCACGACCTTGGGAGTGCAGTATATCCTTCCGACAAAATGAGCTTAACCTTTTTATTATATGCTCATTTCTTATTCTTCCCAAGGCTTGAATATATAAATAAAAATACACTAAAAGAAACAAAGTAACTAAATGTATGCTGTATTCCGAACTAAATACATAAGCATTGATGGATCATTACACAACATTATTAATGAGTGCATAACCCCGCCCAGATAAATATGAAGTTGGTCGTGTGCTAGACGTAAGTTTCGAAAGAAAATGGCGCTTGCTGTACATAAAATAGAAATTTGGAGTAATATTGTTAATGAATACGCATTACAACAACTTTTAAATTTGATGTGGAATGAATACCTTTTGGTATTTTTGTCGATTCAACATAATCTTTTGATTAATGTATGGATATATCTAATTGAAGTGACTTTCATCGGTTTCCAACAGCATCTGCCAATTTAATGTTTTGAATCGTGTTCACATTGGCATACATGTTTCTTTTCTGTCATTGAATAATTCAGATCACAATGTGGGAAAATTATGAAGTCTTTCCATTGCAATAATCGAAAAGTTGCTGACGAATTTAATGTTTATTACATTTTGAGTGCAGTAAGGAGGATGTAACTACACTTACACTTGGAATATACTCGAAATTACAGTACAATTTTTTACAGTACAATTTTAAAATGTGTAATCAACCTTGAGAACCCATAACATGGCTCATCTAATTCAGATTTACAGACCTACAAAAGTATATTTTTGAGGAAATTCAGGAAGAAATTGTAAGTATATTTTTGGCCCATTTTTATTAACAGCTAAAGAAGACAGTTTATGTGTATAACTTGTGTTTTATTGTGAGGAATGTCAATAGCATCTATATATAATTAAATTTGAAACATTGTATCAAAAAAGTAAACGCAGAATGTGCCAAAGCAGTTTGTATGTGCCAGTCTATGAAATATTTGCTGGTATGTGGCCGTCCATGAAATATCTGCTTTAGTTCATTTATAACAAATTGTTTACATTAGAAAATAGTTCCTTTGCACGTGGAATACAATATGAAGGTGTTCAGTATCGGTGAATATTGCACGATTCTGACAATGTAAAGTTAACGGAGAAAAAAGATGAGCATATAATAATAGTTGCTAATTTCCTCATCTTCGTCCTAATCGTGAATTGGAGTAATATTATAATGGTGTATTTTGATGAGAGACTAAGATTTATTCTGCTTTCATAAGCCATTTGGATTTTGAAGGATTTCAACCCTACCAGCACATGACACTGTATACATTCTCTTGTACAAATCTAGTTTTCATTGCTAATAAAAGTAACAAATTTTATGGCCTTGCTCAAATTTTATTGTTTTTGTAGAGGAATTCACTACAATAAAAAGTAATGCCTGAATTGTGTCAGCTGATAAGATCCAATAATGATATGAATTATTTTGTGACTATAAGGAAAAGATAATTTGAAATTATTATAGCAGTACATATATATTACAGCAAAAGGGACTATGAATAGCAGTATGTTTATTACAGCAAAAAGAACTATGAATAGCAGTATCTCAGTAGTTATTTTCTTACATCTGTTAGTATCACTCATTCTCCAAACCATCACTGTTTTCAATACTTTGATTGTATTTCTTACCTATACATACAATTGTTATTTTGCTCACAATTTGTCATTTTTTAGCATGAATGCAGTGTGCTATTTACATTATTTGTTGATTATGTTAAAAATCTACCTTTTGTGTTTAATATTATGTTACTATGTGTTTGTTCAGTTTTATTACCATTATATATTTACATTGTCTTTCAAAAGCAAACAGCACCACCTGTGGTTGTCTATATTTTTTTCAAATGCCTTGCTACTTCTAAAATTTTCAACAAGAATTTTTTTTCAAGATCATTAGGGCAGAATGTCTGGATGAGATTTCAAGCCTCATTTTTATTAAACCCCTTAATCTGAGCACATATTCAAACTCAATTATCATTGATATTCTTATATAGCTGTTCAAACAGCATTTGTAATACACACACACACACACTCACACACACACACACACATATATATATATATATATATATATATATATATATATATATATATATATATATATATATATATATATATATATGTGTCATTTATTCCATAGTAGTATCATATCTGGAATCATGCAATAATTATTCACATTATATATATATATATAATCATCTGCAAATAATGCCTGTAGACATTATTATTAATTATATGCTAGCCTTAAATATACAGCACTCCCAATCTATAAGGCCCATCATTATAACACAGTACTTGTTATGAGGCATGTATGGTCATGAATCCCATTTCATTGTGTAGTAGCAGAATTATATGTACAGTGTACTTCCCATGGGAATTTTTTTAATGATGAAGTACTGTACCATGATATACATGTTGCAAAATGCTTTTTTTGTGAAATTGCATTTTTAGCCAGCTGATTGTCAGTTAGTGAATTATATATTTAGGATCCAAATAGAATGGATAAGTGAAAATCATTTCATTAGTGTTTTTGTCTGAATGAAAGAACATCGTCAAGATTACCAGGAGTTCAAGGAACACTACATCATGTCTATTTTTGCAATATGGGCTTGCACAAATGCTTATCATTGTTTTACAAAAATGTGTTTGTTACATTTAATGGCACTTTAAATACATTATTGTGTTACAGAGGAAGTGGGATCTAAGTGCTTTTGCCAAAGACATACCATGGCAGCAGGTTCAGGCAGTCCTGGTATTGAACAAGCTATCCTTGAATTACAGTCCTTGGTCCTGGCAATTACTTAGTATAAAATATTATCTCAAACTCTTGTTCATTGTGTTTTGAAGCTTGACATGCATTGGAACCACAATTGCCCTTAATTTTGCCTCTGTTGAAAGAGTACTTATCACAGGTAGTTTATATGCCTTACTTGTAAAAGGTGTGATCTAGGTAAAAACTTTTCTGGCAGCAACAGTGGCATTGGCATCTATAATGTTAAGGTGATAAATGTATGTTAAAGACTTTGGTGTTTGCTTTTTACAGGAACATGTATAGTTTATTTAGTGGATTGGAAGTTTGAGTAAAGTGCTCACTTAGACTGAACAAATAATTAAATTTGGATCCAATTAACTAATGAGCTACCGAAACTCCTCGAAGATTTTGAAAGTCATATTTCCTTTGCAACATCAGTAGCTGTATTCAAGTGCAAATTGGTAGAACATCCTACAACTCTTCATCTTTATAACAGGGCAATCGGAGACCACAACTACCCACCATATTATGTACTGAACTTCATTATATTGAGAACCATGATACTTTGGAGCCTGCCATGCATAGAGGATCACATAATATACGGATCATTGGTATATTGGGCACTATTAAAATTTATTAAATAATGGAGTTTTAAAATGGAATAGAACTTTCACCTTGTTTTCTTTCAACCCGTGTTGTTCTTCATTGGTGAAAACTGGTCATTTATTCCATAGTAGTATCATATCTGGAATCATGCAATAATTATTCACATTATGATGGAGGAAAGCTATAATACATTGCCAGATTTAGAGGGGCCTGATGAACCATGTTCC